ATATTAATATAGACCATGCAGAGAGAGTGTACAGTACAGTCAGCCTCACGTTTGTGTGACCAAGTCAGTTTCTGTTCTAATAAGAATAAATCTTTGTTAAAACTGTTGAAAGAGCTCCACATTCTACAGGCTGAAAAACCCACAAATGAATAGTGTTTGTTCCATATAATAGTATCAAAAACTCTGTATCATGTGCTACTTTCAAGGATTTGCAGTTTGTTAAAATGCCTGTTATTGTCCCTCATAATGAAAATACCCTACTGCTGTTGTCTCCACAGTGAGTGAAGTCCATCTCCCACAAGCAAATTCCTTTTACTCACATCCCTGTTTCTCTCTGTCTCCTTCTAGTTACCAAAGACACCATCCTACCGGTATTAGTGCCCAGGACCAGAGCAGAATTCTTACAATGTGAGTCTGTTCACACACACGCTTCTCTCTCCCTGTATGAGGTGGAGTGTGTTTTATTGTCTCTTTTTTTGGTACTGCGGGGTTGGGGTTGAGTTGGGATTTGCAAACACATTTATTGATGATTTAAAACATAATTTTAAAAAAGCCTAAAAGCCAAACAACCAAATAAATAGTTAACTAAAAAGAAGTTACATTGTAGAGGCAGCGTATGACTAAACTCCTGCTGATTTAATGTATTGGAAAGCTGCAGAAAACAGTAACATTTTAAGCCCTGATTATAATGAGCTGACAGTGTTAGCAGACCTCAGGTCTTCAGGGAGCTTCTTCCACAGATGGGGAGCATAGAGACTAAAAGCTGCTTCACTCTGCTTGGTCTTCATTCTGGGACACTGAGTAAACCTTTCCCAGATGCCCTCAGGGGTCTGGATGCTTCACAACGTTCAAGGAAATCAGAAATGTATTTAGCCCTGAGACCATTTATGCTTTGTACACATGTAATAACATTTAAAAGCAATCCTGCGACGCTGAAGAAGCAGTGCAGTGATTTAAGGGTTGATGTGATATGCTGAACTTTATTGGTGTTAGTCAGGACTCTGGTGGCAGCATTCTGGATGAGCTGCAGCTGTGTGTCTGATTTATTACCAAGACCAGTGAAGACACCATTACAATAGTCTAGCCTTCAGAAAATAAACACATGAACAAGCTTTTCTGTATCTGGTTCAGACAGAAATCCTTTAATTTTTGCTATGTTTTGGTGGGAGGCTGATTTTGTAATTGTCTTGGTGTGACTGTTGATTTTTAGGTTTTGGTGTCAAGAATTCTTGGGGCCAAAAACAATTATTTCAGTGTTTTCTGTGTTCAGTTGTAAAAAATTCTGGCATATCCAGTCATTGGTTCATTCAGGGCACTTTTTCAGTGAATCTAATGGACTATATGTTACATCCCTGGCTCAGATCTAGGCAGTTTTATGGGACGCTAACATACTGTAGGATCAGGATGGATAGCATGGGTGGCCATAGATCTACTAGCTGGATGAAACCAAGTATGGGATATGGGTTGGGAGAGTATTTTAATAGGAACACATATAATAAAATACAACTGTGGCAACCAATATAG